TGTGTGTGTGTGTGTGAGAGAGAGAGAGAGAGAGAGAGAGAGAGAGAGAGAGAGAGAGAGAGAGAGAGAGAGAGAGAGAGAGAGGATCCACGGTTGGGCCTTCCCCTCCAGAGTCACTAGAGGATAGGGGATCTACGCTTGGGGCTTCCCCTACATAGCCACTGGACCTAACAAAAGGACTGATATTATATAATGGAATAGAACTCGCACATAACGGCAGTTGAAGCCATTCCATATTTCCCCCTCGTTGCAAGTGTATACTAAGTTAAAAAGAAAGGAGTTGGGGATACACTCCGTTAAATATGTGTACTCGCCTCGTCCATTGCTCTGCCCTACTATGCTTTGTTTTTCGTTTTCTTTTGTTTGGTTGGACTCAGTTTGGTAAGGTCTTGTGCAGTTTGTTTTGGTTGGGTTGGGTTCGGTTCAGGTCGGTTTGTTTCACTTGGATCGGTCCGGTTCGATTCAGTTTGGTGTGGTTTTGCTTTGACATGTTTCTCTCTTTCATTCAAGTCTGGCGCCTACCGTTCTGTCCCTTTCCGTTCCACTCTGTTTTCTTTTATTTCAATGTCTTTTGTTCCATTTCATTCCATCTGTTTTCATAACCTTTCAAATGTTTGTTTGTTAGTTCATGTTTTGATCCTGCTTTTATTTTGTCACAGGTTTAGACCAGGAACTCAGGCTGATGTCCCTCCATTCGAGCCGAATGAAGTTGCATCCGTAAGTACAAATGCTTTTCAAGTCGGCATTGCTATGATTGCTGTTGTTGCCGTTGTTGCTGTTGTTGCTGTTGTTGCTCTCTCTCCATTTGTTCCACTCGTACCGTATGGCCTGCTTCCCGTTCTATTCTCTTTTCATCAGTGCTGCACACCCCGACCGTAGGCGACCCTCGACTGGTCAGCACCTACACCCCTAACAACCCCACGAACACCCCCATACCAGCCCCAAATACCCCCATACACCCCCCAACACCCACAAACCGCCCCCCAACACCCTCATACCCCCCCCAGTACCCCCTATACCACCCCTATACCCCCTATATCCCCCTGTATCCCCCTATACACCTCTCCCCCAACCCCCCCATCCCCAAAAATTTCTCAGCGGATTTGGGCTGTACTCATCAAGCGCAGTACAGCTTCCAACTCAGATCTGAAAAAAAATTAGTGGATGGTTGTTTTCTGGCTGGACGGCAGACCGCCGACCGGTCGGCCCTACTGGTCGGCTGCAATACGGTCGGCGGTCGGCAGGGATGCAACCATGCTTTTCATCAATATGCATAGTGCTGCGTGAGACAAAGAGAGTGGATTCTGTGTGTGTGTGTGTGTGGGTAACACACACACACACACAC